CAGGTACTATGTAAACTATAAAAGTAATAAGTTTATTTCTTCCATGACTTTACACTAAAAAAAACCAACAAGAACAACAACAAAAAAAACCAGAAATAAGGCCAAGAAGATAAGTTAAAATTATTAGATTATTTTTAAATCAAATATCGTTTAACTAGATATTTTCCAGTTCTTTCTACTAATAAGGTGCAAAACAGAGAATTTAGTCACTACAAAGTACTGAAAAGAAAATGTCTAAACTAAAATAAAACAGAGCTTTTCTTATGTCTGCAGTATTTTTTTCAAACTGTTTTTGTAACTTTGTAGGTATTTCCTATTCCACTCACATTTTAAAAACATGTAACCATTCCATTCAGTGTTTGCAACATTACATACAGTGTTTCTATACATGTATATGTGTGAATTACTTTTTCACCTGTTCAGAAGTGACCTGTGAGTAAAAGGATGCCATTTCAATTTGATGCTATAAGTGAAAAAATCATTCTACTTAAATATTTATTTGAAGGGAAAAAAAAAGGAAAAAAAAGTCCTTTCAGTTTCTAGAAGGTGAGATTTTATATTGCAGTTTCACGTTTGGCATGGGCTGGCATAGTTGTTGGTGCAAACTGAAGGCTTAATGAGGCTTAAGAGAATTGTACAGCCTCCTTAACTGGAAGCTAATGTTGTGAAGCATACTGCTGGATGTACACAAGTCCTGTCCTTTGTGCACCCCATGAGGGAATGAAATAAAACAGCATTGTATTGCTGACTTTCAAATTACTAAGGCTACATAAACTCCATGCCAATTTGGGCAGCAGGGGTTCCCTGGGGAGATGTAGCCCATCTTTCTGTGAAGCTATATTTGTTCCCTTCACTGGAGTGCTGCATGTGAAACTTGCATGCTATGCTTTACTCCCTGCTTTTCTTGAGGTACACACATACACCAAATCTCTGCTTCTGCTGTGAACTTCCCCATAAGCAACCTTCTGAGGCTGAATTCTTACGGCAGCAGGACAGAGGAGGAAACCATATTATTTCCTGTACTGCACCACAGGGAATCTTAAATGAAAAGCTTGACAGAGCATCCTATATTTGCTTAAAGCCCTGCCAGGCTGGAAACCTGGGATGGTGTAGTGCAGAGACAACCGCATGCACTCTCTCATGTATCGTAGTTTAGCCACAGCTTATCAGTGGATGAACTCAGTGCTTTGAACTTGGACTGGGGATGCTTAAATACCATGGCTAAAGCTTAGCAAACTCTGCAGGATAAAGATATTTCTTGATTATATTGAACTTTCAGTAACAAGGGGTTATGTGGGTCTGGCAAAGATGAAACAGTCATACCTTGGGAAGGTCCTGTTAAAAATTGTATTAGTTTCAGTAACACATGCATCAAACATCTATATTAGTATACGATGTCTACCAAGGAAGTCACTTATATTAGGATCTTGTCTTACATATTGGGGATTAATACATGCCTTATATTAGGAAAGTCAAGCTATTTTCAGTATTGAGACACCAGTGAATTTGCATTAAAGAGTGATGAAAGGCTGATGTTGAGTGCTTAAATAAGGTGTTCAGAGGACTACCTGATGGGTGGGTCTAGGTCGTATACTGTTACGCGGGCTGGACAATTTGGGTATAACAGGCTGTGTAAGACACCTCCACCTTCCTGATTTTCCAGTCTCCAATAGCTGTAATTTGTTTTGTTCTGGACAACACAATGAGTTTTGAGTGTTACAAAGGCTTTTGTGAGATAATAGATATTACACAAATATTTTGTTTCTTCTGCCAGAGCAGCACTTTTTAAAAAATAATACTTGCATTAACCTCATTGTGTTGGTTTACAAGAATGATTAGAAAGTAGGTCTTAAGCTACCTAATTGTCAGTGAGCCTTACATTGTACCCATAGAAAACTCCCAGTCATTAGGATATCCAAAATGTGCAGTTCAATAATATTAATAATGGTTCTGGGTACAGAGTTCACTGGTTTTCATTAAAAATGACAAGAGCTATATAACCTGTCCTCTAAGATCAGATTTCTAACACTAGGGATGAAGTTAATATTGGCTTTATCATTGAGGAAAGCCAAAACTAAATTCATGGACTGATGAAAAAAGGGTGAACAAATATTCTTGTATCATTGAGGATGACTGTTGTTTGTATATGGAATATATTATAATATTTTGTTTTATTGTCAAGCATAATTGTTAATATTCACAGAGAGTTGTCTGCAGCATTATTCTCCATACAGGGTTACTGCCTTAAATGTTTGGTTGAATTCCCAAAGCATAGAATAGAATTTGCTTTGAAGGTCAGTAAATGTTTACATCATTGTTTTACAAAAGCTTTTGGAGATGAAAAGTAATATGGAAGACCTTACAGCATCTTTCCAGACACTGCTCTTTCCAAGTAACAACACTCAGATAGTAAATCTTAAAAAAAAAATCAAATTTTCTTGGGTGATTGTGTGGTTATTTTTTTAAATGAAAAGAAAATTTGATCAGTTATAAGTTCCCTCTCCACTTGCTTGACTAGCCCTGAGAGGCTAATAAACTGTTAGCTTCAGCACTGAAAGAAATAAAACTAATAAATCTGTATGAGAATATTTGTTTCAAGGCATTGAGTTTCCATAGTCTAGTGACGTGCCATAAGGTGTTCTCCTCAGCAGCAGCTGGATGGAGACAGATTACCCTTCAGGTGCCTTAGAGAGAATAATACCATTGCAGAGGTTTAAAATTCAGGAAAATGACAGATTTTAATAAATAGAAGTTGTGGAAATCATATATTTGTTAGTATTTTTGTCTCTTGCTTAAAAGCAATCATCATGATCTTGATCATCTTTTACATCATGGTTTATTCATTGTCAATCATTGTCAGCTGCTGAAGCAATAAGGAGGGGCATTATATTGTGCAATCGCTGTGCTCACATTTCCCCAGTGCTGTTCAGGAAAATGCTGCCTCTCCCAGTTTATCTGTGCTTTCCTGGTATATCAAATATACAGTTATGAGAAGGTTCAGTTTCACCTTACAGCTGCCAAATATTACAGTAAAGTTAATAAGGCCACCAGGAAAAGGGATGAGTGCTAGTGTCTCAGGCTTGTTATGAAAAGCCAGTGTGAGAATTTCAGAGAGGGCAAAGGGACTGCATTTTAATGGCACTATGCTGGTGAGCCTCCCAGGTACCTTTGGAAATCCTAGCTAAAAGCTTACAGGAAGGGTTGTTTTAAATGAAGTAAATCAATTGATTTTTCAAGCTCTGAAGAAAGACTTCTGAAAATGATGTGGACAATTTTCATCTATATTTAATGAGTCCTGCTTCAGTTTAAGCTTTTAGACGCAGACTGTAAGTCTTCATTGTATGTTTATCTTTCATTGAGGGACATATGAAATAAGAATATTAATTGTTTTTTTTATATAGTACCATAAATAAATGCATGTAGGCAACCCTTCGCTCCTGAAAGCTACCACACGTCTAAGTGAATAAAAACATCATATTTTTCAGTAACTGAAGACATTTTTCATTTTCCTGTGAAACTATTGAACAATCATGATAAAAATCAAGTGGATCTATGTATCACATTTATCAGTACAAATCATATTCTGATAAGTGTCCTTTCAATTATTAGATCTCCAGGGAACAGATGTAAGTTCCAAGCCTTTGCCTGTATGTTGTTCGCAGCTTTTCAAAAATTGCTCTCCAAGTCATTTTCAAAGAAAAAATTATGCTTCCAGCTAAATATGTTTTACAGAAAGTAAACTTTAGGCACACTTTTTTTGAAAGAACACATATCCAAAATTATTTTTGTTCTGAGAGTTTAGTGTTCCAGAATATCATTAGCCCTCATTAATCTAAAAAGCTTGGGTGACAGATTTTGGATAAGACGTACTGTTTCCTATAGGGAAGTAATGAGCAAAATCTAGGCTTTAGCAACAGTGACAAGCCACATTGACCCAGACAAACAGTTTGCAAAAGGGATGTGGACTCAGTTCTTAGATTTATGAGTAAATATTATAGCAGGGCTTCATTTTTGTATGTACTGTGTTTTTGCCACCCTTTTAAAGTCATAGGGAGCACAATCCAATAATAATGCTCATGAAGTAAGAAAGTGAAATTGTATGTTAAATATTTTAATAAGGACAAATTGATTATTAAAGTTCTATTTTTCCATTCTCAGCTCTTGAGAAATATCCTTTCAGTTATTACTGAAAAGAAAAACATTCTGAGTGGGGGCCGAAATGTATTGGCCAAGCGAAGGGAAAAAGGCTGAGCTTTCTCAAGGGTAGCAAGTAATACTTATATTGCAGATGATTGTACTAATCCTGTAACAGGCCTGATCCTGCACTACTGAGATCAAAGGATGTTTTTCACTTCACTTTATTGAAGAATGTTTTATGTGGAAAAATAGAGCTAGTTCTATGGTTCTGATAGTTTGGTCCAAATCCCATAAACAAACAACTGAATAAATGGACACATTTAGGCTTGACTGACTAGATATTTGTTTTCTTTTAAGTAAACCATGCATGGTGATGAAGAACTGAAAAAAAAAATTGACCTTGAAAACATAAAAAACCTATTCTTATTGAAGCCCCCTGTTAGGAAAAGAAAGTAAACTGTTCTTATGTAGTTTCCTTTATCTTATGGATTTTCTGCTGTCATAAACTTCAAAATGTATTGAACACATTGATTAATTTAATATATGGTCTTCCTTAAAAGCCAAAGCTGTAAATAATCATATCCATTCAAATAAGAATTAATTAGATGAATGGGTAACAGCAATGCCTGATTTTTATGAGATATGTCTACCTACTTAATGTACAAAAGAGTTGCATTCAAACCAGAAAAGGAAAATTTGTTTTAACTCAGCCATTGCATTATTACAAAGTGTCTGATGAGAGTTTTTCATCTCTTATTGACCCCACTTGTGTTCAAATATGCCTTTATTTAGAAAGAAATGCAGTTGTAAAGCAAGAAAAGCAACTGAACTGCTTTACTAACTTCTTGTCTTTACTGTTTCAGAGCTGCAAGAAACTAAGACCTCCGAATATCACAGAATATCCCACAGTCCCCTGGATTATAGGATATTATTTATGGATGAAGATCAGGATCGGATCTATGTGGGCAGCAAAGATCATATTCTGTCTTTGAATATTAATAATATAAGCCAGGACCCTCTCAGTGTAAGTTCAACATTTATTTTGAGAATCCAAGGTTGCTTTATTATATGCCTTTCTTTTAAAGACAAAAAATGTGTATTTCATTATTTTGCAGCAGGCAGAAGTCCAGGCCTGCATCTTATTGAACTGTTAGGCCTTGTTTAATGTTTAATACAAAGTGAACAAGCTATTAGCATGACTACTCCTCAAACACTATTTAAAAACTGATTTGTTTACTCATTTTGAAGCAACATTCAGCATGGCTTGGCTTCATAAGGAAAATTTGTATGGTTTGATGGTTTCCATTCCTCTCCAAGATTTAAGATAATTCAGAGAAATGCTTTTAAAAGAAGCCTGTTAGAAAGAGTACGATATATGCTATCGTGTTCAGGCCATAGGGTAAAAAAACCAACACAACAAAACACAAAAACAAATGAAAAAAACCCAACAACCGGGACAAAGTTGCCTTTAAGCTTGGACTGTAGTTTTGTTTTGTACTCTGAAGTCTAATTGCTGAACTATTTTCCAATCTTTGTTATGTCTGTGGCAGCTCTTGCCCTTCAGTTTGGTAGCTGAGACACCTCCTGTTTGGGGTTTTTTGGATGCTGTTACCTGCATCTTTCTCTTGACACCACTTCTTTTCTGGCTACTTCTGTCACTTACAGAGATGCCATTTTCTAAGGACTGTCTGTGTCCCACCTCCTCAAACTGTAGTAGGTAGCCTGTGTATGAAAAAAATCAAATTATCGAATGTTTAAACCACTTTCTTAGATTCCAGAGCCAGTTCAAATCCAGCTTCTCTGCTTTTAAACTAGGTGGCCTGCAGAAGTACTTGTATGCCCAGAAGCCTGTTATTACCTCTCTACAGGCTTTGCCTTGCTTATCTTTAGATTATCACAGCTACAACACTATCTTAAAGAGTACTGAAAAGACCTTGTTCTACCAAATTCATCCCATTCTTTAATCTATGGCCTTTATTACTGTACCTCTGGAGTACTGAGAGGAAAAGATATCCAGCTTGCAGCAGTGAAATTAAATACCTTCTTTAAGAGGCAAGGTTTTAATGTATCAGGAGAGAGAGAGAGAGGCCCGACTGGAGGGTGATTAAGTGTGGTTAAATTAGGCTTTGCTCTAAATCACCCTCTGGACAGGCCTGTCTACCTGAATTGATTGGGCAGGGAGTCCAGAGAGGCTAACTCTAACTTGCACATTTAAATTAAATGCTTCTCGTGTTATGTCTTTCCTCCTTCTAATGGTACAGAAATCTTTGAAATGATACTGCCTTCTCTGATCTGAAATAGCTTCTGTGACCTTTTTGCTAAGTCCCATCTCACCAGTGATCCAGCCACCCTTTTCTGGGAGCTGCTGTGCTCCAGCCTTCCCTTTGCAGCTTGGTTTTAGTTCTCTGCAGAGTTCGGGTAGATTGGAAGGGCTCTATTGCATGAAATATATTCTGCAGTATAAAGCTGTGAGGCATTTCAATAATCTCTTTGGATCTGGAAAAACAACAGTAAAGAAGAGCAACAGAAAGCAAAAACACACAAAATTTTCTGGCAGTGAATGTGATCACCCAGTATTAGGCTAAGAATTAATCTCTGCAATTCCACATGTTCTTTCATTTGTGTATTTATTTTTATAACCAATTTACTTTGCTAATCTTAGACCTCTATAGAAACTCTGTGTACATATGCATACGTACCTACGACTCTCTGCATATATATGTATGTATGTATATGTATATATATAGAGAGATCTTTTAATGCTGTTATTTATGTTATCTTGAGGCTAAATGTTATCAGGCTCTGTCACCTACTAAATTTCTAAATGTCTTCTATTTCAAAATCAAAATATATAATGGAAGAAGCTCAAAATCATTATAGTTTGAGTATAGATCAGAGAAACATTCAGACATTGAGATGTTTTTCATAAAACTATCTGAAAGTAATCAGCCTAAAATCTTAAGATTTTAAGCAGGTTTTATCATAACCTGTCCATACCTTTGCTGTTAAAACCAAAAAATTGCTACTGCTTTCTTGCAGTATTGTAATATTCTAGTTTCTACTGTGAATAATTTCTATAAGTTCAGTGAAAAGGTAAAGATGGACAGTAATTTAGGTAATAACAATGAAAAATCCTTCTTGTTTAGAAGAAAGAAGTCTAAATAAATTAACTTATCTTAAAAACATGTAATGAACTTAATTTATACCAGACAAAGATCTGGATGCTATTTAGTGCATGCTAAGACATAAAGTTGTTTTCATGTATCAATGAAAATCCCTTATTTCCTTATAATCAAGATGTAGAAGATATTAGAAAATTAACTTATTAGTGTAACTTAGGCAGTGAAATGTTTTGCTTAAATTATGTAATAAATATGTTACTTAAAAGATATTTCTTTCCTTACAGATTTTCTGGCCAGCATCAGCAAACAAAGTTGAAGAGTGCAAAATGGCTGGCAAAGATCCTACGGTAAGTTATAATCCACATGCACATACACAAATTACATACTTGGCAATAAAGTAAGAGCACCTTGAGTGCAGCCAAAACAAAATGAAAGAAGTGTTTGTTTTGCTTTTTAAATGCTCTGCAGACCAAAGATAAAGGGAAATTATGAAAAAACAGGCTATGTAAACAGAATGCACCTTCAGACTTTAACCAGTGGAAAAAGATATGTCCACCTCCTTGCCTTTTTCTTCTTGTTACTAGTCAAATTAAGTAGTAGTACGTTTCCAGACATGTCCTGGGGTGATGTGAACAGCCTGCTAAGCTGTTTGGGGTGGCGAAGTGCTCTGGCTGTCTGCTCGCCCCAGGAACAGACTCTACAGACAGGTAGTACCTGCTGTCTGCAGCCTGAAGATCCCAGACTCAGAACCCCCTGAAACATCTCTTTCCATTACTTCCATAAAACAATGCCAGAATAAGTATCTGGAAACCAGTATGCTTTCCTAAAAAGAGGTAATGGTGATCTCTGGAATCATGGGAAACACAGACCATGGAGAGGTTATATTGAGTCATTTTGCACCACAGCTGATTATTCTCCCATCTAAATGCAGACACCTTCCAAAGGACCTAAATCAGATGGTAATTTCCTTATATACTCTTCATAGATAATAGAAATGAGGTATTCTGAAAGACCGTGTGAGTGGTACAATATAGCAGATCCTGTCTTTGGCAAGGTTATCTATTACTATGGTTATCTGCCTAAAGTAATTTGAACTTACAGTCTGTATATGCCTAGATTTTACGAACAGAATACAGCTAAAATGTAAAACAAAAAAGCAGAAAGTCACATTTTAATTCTAGTCAGTTAACTTTTGACTTTTTACCAGTTCAGCACCACCTAAAGGTTTTTGTCCTGGTTTTCTTTAACTCTTTAGATACAGCTGTTTTTCAAGTGATATTTTAGTACTAGAGTTCAGAATCTAATCTAAGCTAGAAAATTGCAATCACTACTAAATTTATAAGAAAAAACAATGAAATTTTGATCGTATTCTTATTTAAGCAAAAAACTATAGAAATCAGAAGCTTCCACATTAGGTATAATCATCTTTGAAACATACTCCTCAGCAAATCTAGGATCATAAATAATGAAGTCATTGAAGGATGTTAGCAGGTGTATATAAATATAGCTTTTAATTTCAGAAACTGTAGAATTAATACAAAAGTCCACTGGAATTAGTATAAAAACTGTTATTTATTTCAAAGGTCTCTTTATTAAGCCTAATATTTCTATTTATTTTAGCTACATATATTATTAACTAAGCCTACAGATGACATGCAATTCAGTTACTGCAATGTAACTGTCACCTGAGTACGTTTTATGAGAAAACTACATGTGGGCTTTATTTTGAAAATCTGTTGTGAATGCTGATGAGTGTAAGGAGACCAGAAGGTTGGCCTTCTGAAGTGTTGCTGTCATACTGCTTTTTCAAAACTGGAGTGTAATTCACTATGTTGCTACAGAGCAACAGAATGATTCTTTATGAATAACTATATTATGGTCGGTATGACAGCTTATCTGCTTTATTTCCTGATAGCTACAGTAGTGAAAAACAAGTATTTTTCCTATTGAATATCCTATTTTTCTATACATCTTTATATTTTTCTGGTTACTGCAGTGTGCAGTAAATTCTACAACTAATGGTTAAGTTGCACTGAAAGTGCAAATAAAACATATAGCTTTGCTTATGGTGATTAATGTTGACCCTAGTTCCTGTGTCAAGAAAATACCCTTAAACCGGACTCTCTGGATAACTTGAAATGTTGGATATTACGTGGTGAGATGTTCTTAGCTTTTAATCATGTTGAAGGACCGAAATGTTGCTGTGTTAGTGGACAGATTTCTAGATAGAACCTCTGTTTTTACAACGGTTTAGTTGTGAGTACAGCTAATATCCTGTAACATAGTTAATTAAGAATGTACTCATGCATCAACTTTAACTGATTTTTTTAATGTCAGCTGTGCATTGCAGAAGAAAAATTAAGTTCCAAAAATAGAAGTTTACATTATTTTCCTTAGTATCTTTGAAGAGTTTGAAAGAGAAAAAAAAAGGTTACTGAAGAGCAGCTGCTGCTCCCACTAAAATCAATGGTGTGTCTTATTGAAAGGTCACTGAAATAATGAGAAGAAGAGAACCCAATGCTAAATCAGTATTTGCAACTTAAAATGTATAGTTCTATTTTAGTAGCATTCTTGTGATTTTCATTCCTGATAATAATGGGAGAAGCAGAGAATAATTCAGAAGAATTACGAATTTCAAATGAAAAAAAAAAAAAGGAGGGGAGGAGGTAAATGCATGATAACGTTTGGCCTGTAAAAGAACAGTGATTATTACAAGGTAAAAGAGGAAAACAGGAATAGATAGCCTTAGAGCAGCCAATAAAGGACTGTATGCAATGAGCGAATTCTTTTCCAGGGAGATTAGGAGAGAGTTCATTGTCTGAGTTTGTCATCCTTGGATGCCTTTCTTGTTACCAAAAAGAAATTTTCACCTCTAAATATTATGTTCACCAGGCCAACTTGAATACTTGCATTAGTATGACATCTATTTCTCTATATTTACTGTGATGACATCCTAGGGCATAGATCTCTGACTTTCAGATGTCTACAGTAAGGCAGTTCCCCAGACACTGCTACTGAGTGAGTTTGGATATCAGCTCCAAGAGGAGCACCAGTAGTATGTGAATATCTACAGCTTAGCCACTGCCGTTGACAAACATCCATCCTAAAGACAATTATCACATGTCACTTCACATCAGACTGATTTAAAAGCACAAAGCACTCCAATGTCAAGTAAGGGAAATAAACTGCAGTATAGATGCTCTTGAACGACAGTCCTACAAAATATATTCTGAAATAACAATTTCTTACTTTGTTGGGTTGTGGAATCACATTGCAGTACCCAGACTAATCCTGTAACAAATTGGAAATGGAGTTCAGTGGTTCAGCACTAGAGAGACGGGCAAAGGCTCAGAGATCATCAAATGGTCTTCCTGCTGGACAGCATTGAAGTAAAACAATGTTGGTATCAAGCCAACTTATATTACTTCTCTGTGAATCATCAGTGAAGAGACATGAAGACACAGTACGTGTCAGACGGTTACCCCAGAAGGCTGTCCTTAAAGAAAAGAGCCGTTCATCTGACCGCCCCTGTGTTCTTGCCGTAGGGACTTTGGAAAATGCATGGGATGGTACTGGGGTAGAGCAGCAAGTGCCTGTATCAGTACTGTTCATGTAGACATTGTTTCCTTATCCTGCTCCCTGAAGACTTTCATTCTGAGATTTTTCAGCATGCAGTCCTTTATTTGGGAATCTTCTAGAAATGTTTTCTGCAAACAGCATGAAAAGAAAGCATCAGTTTACACTCTGGCATATATGAGCTAATGGCATGCCTTCACCTGTCCTTCTTCCCTTTCCACAGCCATAATGTGGATTGGTAGTACTGCTGAGAAAAACACGATTTTGATAACAGGACATTGCTAAAGCCATCTTTGCTCCAAACAAAGGTAGCTGCGTATAAGAAAATGAAAACATTTAGGAGCAACCCTCAGCTTTAGAGAAACAATGTATTTTGACTGGGTTAAAGGATTTTTCTTATACAGGTAGAGCTAATGCTTAACTGAGGACATACAGTGTTCCCTGTAGAGAAACTCCTTCTATGAACTCTGAACTACCTACAGTTATACACCAGTTTTCAGCTGGTGTAGTACAGTATGAGCTCCTGCCGAACCAAAAATGTGAATGCCTTTAAATATAAATAAACTGTGCAGTCTGCTAAACAAGGATTAACTCTTCTGATTTTTGTGAAGATGACTGATGACACAGTTTCCAATCCTGCACTTAGAGAACACATGCAATTCTCACTGTCTTTGGTGAAGGTTCGACTGAATATGAAGGCAGTTGTGGGATCTCAGTAAGAAAAAATATTCAGAAAAAAATTATTTTCAACCTTAAGTGCATTAACAGTTGTTCATAGTCAAAAAAAGGAAAAAGCAAGAGAAGAAAAGGATATACTGGAAGGAGAGAACTGTAAATCCAATGGTGTGAAACTGTATGGCACTTAAACATTCTGTTCTAATTTTCATGCTGTTTTGAAAATGTTCCCATTGATCTTCAATATAAAGCAACAATTTACTGCACACTTGCTTTGTGGTGTTCCTAATTTTAATGTTCTGTAAATAAACTTTTTAAACACATAATGGGATCTGAGATTTGGGCTTCCTTATTTTTTTATTATCTTCAGCTATGATGAAAAAATTAGGGGGAGGAAAAGAGACTCTTCTGCAGGTATTCTTAAGGAAACTCTATAAGGTTACTTCTGGTTTTACTGCAGAGCCTCTTCTTCTTCCCATGCAAGGTACAAAGAAGTTTTTAGATGAATATTAGATTGCTGTGTGGAGATACTTACTTACATACACTCCTCTGTAACTAGTGCCCTCTCAGTGCCAGGTTCCCAAACTAGGCAAAATGGCATGAAAAGAAAACAGAAGTCTACAGCTGTTCAAATCCAGACACTACCAAACTCTGTAGTGGTTTCCATGATAATACTACAATTATGAACAATGTCTGTTCCCTAGATTTAACAACATCTAATAACATTTGCCAATGCAAAATATTTTTCTGTATTCCCTGTATGCAGCATGGCTGTGGAAATTTTGTGCGTGTGATACAGTCATACAACCGCACACACCTGTATGTCTGTGGCAGCGGTGCCTTCAGCCCCGTGTGTGTGTACGTGAACAGAGGGCGCAGATCCGAGGTAAGTCTCAAGTCATTTTATCTGCTCATTTTGTGGTGGATACTAGTGTTACACAAAAAAAATTTTGAAAATGGTCCAAACATGTTCCTTCTCCCATATTAAATGGAAAAGGACAAAGATCTGTAGCTTTCTGACTTGTTACCATCAAGAAGCAAAGCCATGATCAAAAGCCATGCCTCAAATATGATGGTTATTCAAATTTCCACAGTCATATCAAAAGCTGGGCTACATTTGATCCTACTTTCTATTTGATTTTGTCTGGTAAATTCATTCCTACTGTTTGTTGGAAAAATTGCCAAGAAATACTTGAAAGGAAATAGCCAGTTAGTTAAAAAGTAAAATATGCAGTCCACTTCTTATAAATTCTGTGTGTTACTGAATCTGGGAAGAAGCACTTAAGTGGGCTAACCATTCAGATATGTGAAGTTTTGCTGGACTTCAGCTTAATACCGGCTAGATACAAGCCCAGTACAGGTAACTTTCATCTACTGCACAAGTTTTGCCCCAGTAGATTCTGCTGGGATTGAGTCAAGAAGTTTTCTCATCACTGTGAGGTCTTCCAGGGTGTAAATCTCATTTTGTCTAGATAGATCTTCAGTTTTTTTATATTCAGTTTCACTGTGTATTTTCAACATACAAAGTACCAGATGTTTCTTAAATGCATTGTCCAAGTCTTCTGATTTGAAAGTGAAATGTTTGTTTATGTGCAAATGTAATAGGTAATAAATTAAGCAACCAGAAGGAGAAAGAAAAGCACTTAACCAAGACTCAGCACCTTAGTAGCTTTTGGGTCAGATTCATGTCTGCAAGCACATGGTTGTGCAATGTATTTTCCTGTACAATGTGGAAGCAGATGTGTTGGGAAGGAAGATCAGAGAGTACTACCTGGAGTTTTGCCATGTAAGGGCAGATTTAAACCTGGGCTGGCTCCTAGGAAAGAGACTGGGAAATTCATCACTGTTTTCAATGGGAGTGGGATGGGAATTCTGGCCAAGACCCAAGGCTACTGCAGAAGTTGCCAGGAAGGTGATAAATTGTTGTTTTTCCAGGTAGTTTTGCATGGGGTGGTCTCAGTAAGTTTTGGTAGATGGCTACCTGGCTCCAGCCTCCTTAACAGAGTATGTAGACTGAATCACTACACCTTCGGTCCTAATGAATTAACTAAATGTAAGGGTTCATAGACCTGGATTTAAAAGGACAAGCAATCAAGACTGAATAAGTAAATCCCTCCTTCTGATTAATGGAGTCTGCATTAACTTACTTTGATGTATTTTGAAACTGAGGTCAGTTTTATTCAGCATTATCCTATTTCTTGAAAAAATATTTGAAACATGGAAAATTATCTCATTTGTCTCTAATTAATGCAATATTCCTTTATCAGCTTAGGTAGTAGTACTGTAGTGCAGAGAACTTTGGATCTCATTATTTTAAGGGTTTTGTAAATGAGATTAGGGGAAGAGCATAGGGAGGAAATGACATCTCCAGATGATGCAAGATGTTAAATTTCTCTAGTTAAAAATAAAGATACATGTCTTGGAAGAGCTGAACTGGCTTTACTTAGCCTGTCTGTATAGCTACATGCCTATGATCAATTGATTAAATAAACTGCTGTTTCAGACGTCTGGAGTCTGTCAGACAGTTGACTGTAAGCATCGCATGCTCAAAGCCATTACTGTACAGGCCAACAATAGCATAACAGCTTAAAACCAAGCATTTCCTTCTGAACTCATTGCATATATCAGTGCATGACTAATTAATAGAGCAGGGTGAAGAACTATGTAGTGCTGATGGGACTAGTGAGAACTCATTTTTTTCTCTGCTTTTATCATTTCACCTTTAATTTAGTAGAGTTTTCCATGCACAGAAGGCTGTTTTTGCACGTGCAATATGGATATTTTAGAAAGCACATCTGTTTTTCTCTGGAAGCTACAAAGCCTGACAGTAAGAGTCACATCCAACAATCATAAGAACTGTGCCTGTTTTGCTCTTTTGTTTGCAGGATCCCACATACTCTCACAAAAAAAGACAGCTTCATTGGTGAGGCAGAATGTTGTCCTTTTACCTGAAACAGAGGTTAAAAAATAATTCATTTTCTTGCTTGGCACACTTGATACTTTGGTCTTTGGTAATGACTCTCTTAGTCATCCAAATATATTCTAATGTCAAAGTAAATGCAAACATAAAGAACTGTAATCACTATGTGAATTAATTATAGACTAAAAAGTAATTTAATATATATGAAAATCAGGTGTAATCCTAGAGTTAGTTATATAGTAATGGGCATTTTGAACTGGTAAATAGTGGTATAATACAGTAAATGTGGATTAATATCAAGCTCCATGTTAATCTGGAAGTGAAACAACAACTAAAAACCACAAGATCATATTAGAAACTTCATACTTATGTTTTAACTTTGTTTAAAGAGGTTATTACTGAAGTGATAGATAAGATCTCTGTGATTAAATTAAGCAAAACAGAAGAAGGAGAAAAGAGATAGGGGAAAATGGATATGAAAACTTCCTGCTGTAGCTGAGCATTTCAGGTTGGTGAGTCTCCAATTCACTGTCACCAGATGGCTGCTCAGTGATCTGTGTGGCATCCCCATTCCCCTGTGTTTTACATTATTTGTTAAAGTCAATATAAAGAGTTTCTGCCCTTAGTCAAATAACTAATACATTGGCATCTACATCAGGGAAGCCTTTCTCTGGAGTTTTTGTCAGCTACCTTTTTCTGTCAAATCAGAGATGTTGTAAGTTTGTCTGTTCTTTTTCTTTGCAATTGTGTCTTTAGCCGTTTTCTCAAAGTTTGCTATAGGAGGCCAGGAACAAGTTGTTTGTTTGGTATACAATGCTGTGTGAGTAGATGTGAGGGACTGATGTCTCTGCCATTACTGCAGTTTTTAAGGAATGGACTTGGACCCAAGAGTCACTTCTTGCTCAGCATACTGTGTGCTGCAGTATTGCTGGAACCAAGAAGGGAAGAGGTGTACTGAGATGGGTGAATTTTCTGAAGATATGCAGACTCTTTGCATTTCAAGCTGTAGTCCAGGTTGCTTCTACTTTGCCAAATGGATTTCCTATTTGTAAATCACATAAAATGTAAATAAAGCCTCATCCTAAGATTCCTAAAAAATTTCCAAGAGATTTCAGGCTATGGCAAGAGATAATGATAAATCATCTATCACTATGGAATTGGAGCTCTACACATAATCCAAGAGATTGCATTGAAGAAAATAAGTATGATTTAGTGGATTTTGGGTGATCTGATAGCTCAGTAAACAGCAAATGATTTATACTATCACCAAATGACAGTTGTCATATGAGATTTTTATTTAATGTGTATTATTGTTCTAGTAGCTTTATTATAATGTCCTAGACTAGTATAAGTGTCACCATGTATTCAGGAAATAAATGAAAAATAACTTCAAATACACAGAAGTAATCTCCACAGATGCTATTGCAGAGATAACTGAGCTAGAGGGAAAAATTATCTGTTTCAGTGTCTTGAATTTATAACAAGAGTCTAAAATAACTGGGTATCAATGAAAAAGTTGTCTTTTTAAGTAGAAAAGCTAAACTGCTGATAGTGCAGCAAAAGTGCCTAGGTTATCCTCACACTCTACTCTGCCCTGGGGAGACTACATGTGGAATACTGTATCCAATTCTGGGCTCCCCAGTTCAAGAAGGACAAGGAACGACTGGAAAGTCCAGCTCAGAGCCACGAAGAAGATGAGGGTACTAGAGCATCTCCCATATGAGGAAAGGCTGAGAGAGCTAGGGCTGTTTATCCTGGGGAAGTGACTGAGGGGGGAATCTCATTGATGCTTATAAATATCTAAAGGGTGGGTGTCAGGAGGATGAGACCAGACTCTTCTCAGTTGTGCCAAGTGACAAGACAAGGGAAATGGTCACAAACTGGAACACAAGAGGTTCCACTTAAACATAAGGAAAAACTTCTTCACTGTGAGGGTAACAGAGCACTGGAACAGGCTGCCCAGAGAGGTTGTGGAGTTTCCTTCTCTAGAGGCATTCAAAACCCGCCTGGACGCGTTCCTCTGCAACCTAGTCTAGGTGATCCTGCTCTAGCAGGGGGGTTGGACTGGATGGTCTTTCGAGGTCCCTTCCAACTCCTACCATTCTGTGATTCTGTGATTCTGTGTAATGCTCGAAACAGCCAAGCATAAAAATCACCTTAAGTCTGATGGTTTCTGAAATGAGAAGTGACACACAAATCTACATTGCAGGAACAAATCTTCAAGATCGACTCCAAGTGTGAATCAGGGAAGGGACGCTGTTCTTTCAACCCTAATGTGAACACTGTGTCTGTTATGATCAGTAAGTAAAAATACTTCAAGTATTTGGAGTATGATCATGTGTGGTGTGGATTGATGGGATGCTTTAAATGAGCTGGGCACAGAATTTAGCCTCCAAGGAGCAGTACCTTGTGTCTGGCTGATGGGCACAAGGGTTAGGTCCATCCTTGTTTCAAGGTTTACATGAAGGTAAAGGTGGATGTGCAAATGAAATGCAGAAATAAGCTGTCGAAAGGGAGAGAGACACAAAAACCAAAAGATTGTCCCTTTTCCAGCTCACACATTTTTTCCCAGGGTTAGTTTCAACTTTGCATTACCCTGTCTAGCATTTTATGTTTGAACAGTTTCTGACCTTGTTCATCCTAGACAGCACTTGTGTCTTATGTAATTATTTGTAAAATCTCAGAGTAGCTAGGGAA